TACGAGCGGGAGTATCGTAGAACCCTACATAGCCTTGACCCCAGCACGAACATGCCATAGAGGGTAGCACACAAAAAGGAGCAGTAATGATGCGAGCCGGTCACATGAAACCTCGATGTCCAGTCAGTTGCGAGGTATATGTGTTGTCACCAGCCAGCTGACTAGGCTAGTCGCATTCTTACGCATGAAAAAGAAAGGGGCACGCTTCTGAATAATGCCCGTCTTTGGCCCAGATTTTTCGGCGCGCGGCGACCTTGTGCTGTATCCCAACTCGTTCGTCATACAAACATATGGGCATACAGATTACACTGATGATCCTCAAGAACCTCAACAAAAAAAGTTGCTTCCACGCAACCCCAAATTCAAACACCAAACTTGACACGTCATGGTCTGGTTTGCTTCTCGCGCAGCATCTACCTTATGCACACATCCCCTCACCAATGTCCAGATCAAACAACTGCATGCGGCCCCGCCTGTCACCACGTTGAGGACCGCGAAATATGTAAAACTTACCTGGGCCCATCATCGCTTTGAACTGCAACAACTTACCTGGGCCCGTGTGAGGACCCTATGGCCACTCTTCCTACCCTAGTTTTAAACCTCATCGTTTTTCTGTCATTGGTTATCTTTTCACAGGGCTGGCCTACCAGAACTGTATACTACTGGAATTCAAAACCTTATCCTCTTATGTTTATTGGTTATCGTTCTGCAAGGGAAGCAAAAAATAGGACCGCTCTTGTAGAAATTCTGACAGCGGTGTTATAACCCAAGCCCACGTGATCTTATATACCGTCTTGTAGACGACGACTAAAATCCCTGGAAAACCAAAAATAAGATCTAGAAGCCAGGCTAAAGGCAGCCAGGTCACATAAAACACAAACCTCAGATTTTTGGCGAACGCGCGTGGTAAGATTCCACAAATACTTTTTCAGTGCAGGGCTTGAGCCTTGAGAATTCTGTTCCGGAGCTGATTGGCCACAAGCTGTTTACGAACCAATCTTCAAAAGCGCTCTCCGCAAAACAAGGGTGGCGAGCCCACTTTTGCGTCCAATATGCTAATACCTGTTGGTTGCGCGCACGTGTGCAACTGCAGTGTCAGTTAGAAAGATAAAAACCGCCCAAATCAAAATTCGCAGCCACAGCAGCACGACTTCCCACACTCCCGAGATCTTTCTCAAAGGAGCAATCACATTCTCCCAGCTGACCTTAAGGTTCTTCAACACACATTACACCGCGTGGGTACATGACTGTCTGTGCTCTCCCGTGCCAGGAGAGCGGTGCACAAGCACATTGCAACAGTTTTGCAGGCCCGGTAAATCTGTCTGTGTTCATCTTCACGGATGATACAGCTTTCTCGTGAAGACGGAATTTGGCAGATCAACCCCTTCTGCTCTAACTCGAGTGTGTTGTGCCCAGGAAAGTGGAGGCTTATACGTACCACTAATCACGTCGCAGGTTGGGCTAAAGCAACAATATATTGTTGTTTTCTTGCTACAACGCAGGATTTGGGGCGCTCCTGTCCGAGAAATCTTTCCCACAGGCGACAACACAAAGAGTTGGTCTAGTAGATCTTATCAACATCCTGCTTGCAGATGGTGAGTCAAGAGATCAATAGCTCACTGCACGATTCCCGATTGCAACCTTCCGGACAGTTCTATGAACGACGAGCAGGTCAGAAAGATTCACGCTGAGCTCGGGCCACACGAGGTTTGCAACAATCTCAAACTTGTCATGGCTACAATTTGGCTACAAACAACAGGTGTCACTGCGATGAACATAACATGACATTAGAGGCAGGGGTTGACGAAGCTTGCCATTCCAGTGCTTGTTCACCAAACTCCTGAACCCGTGTCGGTTCCACTCACACGCCTGCAACTTTCGGACGAAATGTCTTACATTGTTTGGGTGGGAACACAATGCACAGCATAAAGGAGCGGTCCGCAATCAAGGTTCAAGGCCTGTTAGACTCGGAAAGCCCTACGTTGTCTCAGCCCTGTCCATCTTGAGCCAGGTCTCGCCAGCTGCAATGCACATGAACAAGCTCAGCATGGTATCTGTCACCGACGCAAAGTACCTGAACCAGGTGCCGAAGAAGACCCAGAATCGTCCCAGATTCCAACTGCATGTTTGGAATTGTTACTTGGGCCTGTTAGATGACTTTGAAAGGAACAAGTGGTCTGGGAAGAGCTTGTTTTTTCTTGTTGCGCCATTGCAACTTCCTTGGCTACTCGAGCTGGACGAGTATCTGTAAGCTTTACCGCACGGCAAATGCAGAAACGACACTTTGATTTGCTGGGTACCCTTTCGACTTCAAGCCTTAAAGCCCAATTTCTCAGGATCTCTAAGTGCACCGCCCGAGCTACGATGGCATGTCAGAGATTTGCTATCACTGCCCTAGGACAGACAATTTCTCATGCACCACATAAAGAAGCCCGACAACAGAAACGCCGATGCTTTGAGCTGCTTGAACGTCTGACCGACTTTGCAGTTTGGTTCTCCTAGATGCATCATTTACACAGAAGGCCGCAGCCTAAATCTTTTGCCACCATTGCCAAAAGTCGCTCAGATGGGCTGCGCTTCTGTCTGGCTTCCAAAGTCAGCACGGGAATAGTAATTCTCATATATTCTGAGCACACTAACGCACGTGCTCCGGCCACCTTCCACTCATTTGGAGCTCATAATCAGGAAGCGTGGGATTGTCTGGGTCAGCAAGGTAGTCGTTCACCTTAGCCAGCATGCCATGAGGACCGCGTGTGGGCGTCCTGCCCTTTGGATTGCAGGTCTCAAGATCCATGAAAACTCTTGCTGACATTGGAGTACCCCAAGCGTGCCCCAGGAAGACAAATTCATCATGGTTACACCCCCGAACATCTTTTCTTTCAATCATACGCGCTACCCTTGTTCATACAAGCGTTTGTTTCATCTGCAAATGCTTGGGTTTCTCGGAAGGCTGGTATCATGCTGTCTGCTTTAGCATCTGGGTGATGGGCGCTGCAACTTTGCAGTTGCGGGGTTGGTGTATTGTGATTCAACTCAAGAAAGTCAGAAAGTTGTTGGAGCCTTTTGCACTGCATGTCATCATGACCAATCTGCGTTCATATGCTGTTTGAACTCTAGCAAGGGTCATCCTCCACCTTCGCATCCTTGACTACGAGCTCAACACTGAAATGCAAATGAAGCTATTGGGATGACATTTGGGCAGCCATACACACAATCTGGTACCTTGACGGGCAGTCGTAGTCTAACAATCCCGGATCCAACAGGCCCACACCCCTAAAGCCTTCCGCCCTTTAATCCAGAGCTTCACACCCACAACAGCCAAAAATCTGCGATGCCTGCACCAATACCCTACATCCTTAGGCTTTATACACATAATAGATATAACCATTTTGTCTCACGACGAATCCGAGGCTGCTGCTGCTTGGGCAAACAACACCGCAAACACCTCAGCTGAAAAAAAATTGCAGAAGTCGAAATGGACCGAATCCAGAAAGAATACAGGTGCTTTGTAAACGTCGGCGAACGCCGCAGCTAACAACAACCAGGAAGTTGTGGATCTCAACGTACGCTGAATAAACGTAAACGATGACACAGACCAAATAATTGCGGGTTAGACGCGTAGATTGGGACCCCGCATACACTGCAGCAAGCATTGCCAGGATACAATATGAATTGGCTCACCTACTAGGTTGAGGCTTACCACTTCAAAGCTGAAGGTCTAGAGACAGATGCATTTGCACTAAGGTGCCGCAGTAATTTGATAGCAACGATAAGTTCAGCTCTGGTCAAGTCAAGGCTTGCCTCATGAAGACGCGAATAGAGGCCTCGGGGTTGATTTGTGAGATCAGGTCAGACCAATCCTATCACTCGAGTACCGAGTCCTAAGTGGAGCCCCTCCTGATCTCTCAGCCACTGAGGGGGGCAGATAAGCATGATGCAGCCATACCTGAGTTGCGTTGAAAAAGCACTAACCCATGTATAATTTACGCCCACCCAGAAGCTGTACCAAGTTTTGTTGCCTGAGACTAAGCAAGGCGTGCTGCTGACGCTGGATGTGGGCTGTCGACTTGCTGTAGTTGGAACAGTAGGTTCAGTATCCACAGTCTCTGCCGGCGGCACCAAAAGTGAAGTGAATACTTGGGCCGCAACTTAGGCTTCTTCAGCAAATAGAGTTGCGGGCCTAGCGCCCAAAGCTTGAATACCAGATTCCGTGTCAGTAGTGCGCTTGGTTTCAGACCCCACCGTCAGTCAGTCAGTCAGTCAGTCAGTCAGTCAGGCAGTCATACGCCATGCGGTGTGAAGACAAGTAAAAGGCGGCTCACTGTACGACACCAAAAGCTTTGTTGCTAATGTCTGGTCTCGGTCTACCAACCGCTCTGACACAAGCACCGAGCACTTCGCATGGCTAAAACAGCATGAGTTGACATTGCAAAAGTAAATCCGTAGTGGCACATCAGCCAGCTGACGCCTGGCTTCAACATTTTGATAATCGCGAAATGAGCGCAGGAGCAAGGCCTGAAATCCTCCCAAAGCAGCGGTTGCGAAAATTGTTGATGCGACGACAATCTGAAGCTGAAAGGCATAAACAATTCAACTCAATTCAATTCTACAAAAGTTTAGATTCACTGAGCGCTTTGTAATTGTAGATTTTTCTCGCGAGCAGCATAGTGACGAATGCTTCCATACCCTTTGCAGGTCCCCGAACTCAGCCTTGGCTATACCAATTTGACGCCACAGCTCATGTCCTGGCAAACCCGTTGTAGCTGAGCTTGGTTGAAGGCTGCGGCCACTACTTACCGGTTACTTAACTTAAATTTGTTTCGTTTGAATGCTCATGACCAGACCTGGGTCAACTTACAAACGTATAAGGCAGCCTGAATTTCAACAACTTGGGCGGTAGCCCACCCGTCCTGACGACACAACTTAGGCGCTGCAAATCCTACACATAAAATCCTTTCAGACATTCTCGGCCCTAGGCGGTACGAAGTTTGCCAAGTCACGTAGACAATGACCAGGAGCAACATCAAGGCCCAGAAGAGAGACTTCAGAGTGAAGGCAATGGACCTGGGCCGCGATAAGGAATCCAAACTAGCCATTCTAGGTAAATTAGGTAGGGTTTGGGGTTCAGGCTTCAAGCTTGAGCGCCCAGGAGGATGAGGCTGAAGGCTCCCGACGGGGGCTGGTCTTGGCACATCCTTAGCCTGAAGGCTTTCACGTGGAAGTACCGACTTGCCTGAGACAGCCGCGTCCGCATACGGAACCCCACCCTAGATCGTTACTGAAGTATGTCGAAAGCACCTGACCAAATCCATGCAGTAGCTGCAATCCTAGCACTTGGAGCTTTGTGCGGGGGCCCTAGCAGTAATGTCGGCTCGCGGCAGAGTTAATAGTCAAAAAAGGCTCCCAGACTTACCGGCCTGACCTATCCGTGCCCCTCGTACAAACCAAGAAGCCCTGAACATGAACGACTGCACACTGCTTAACCAACTGTGGACTTCCTATGTTGGAGCTTCAGCGCTTCATATCACGAGGGCGCGTAAAAATCAAACCTCCACATGGAAATGTGGCACCGGGTTTATTGAAGAGACCTTGTTTAATGTGTTTTCGCAGCGTCTTATTTCTTTTAAGCCACTTGCTTGAAGACCATGCTTGATGTGTTGATTTTGGGGCCCTAGAAAAATCCAGACCATCCCGCTTCAAGTAATCCCCAGAGCCCTCAGTACAGTGGGAGCCTTATTCTCAGGGGAGGGGGTGGGGTCCTAGTCTAAACAATTTGCAATATTACATACCTGCAAATGCCAACGACTGCTGGTGTACTCGAGGCGCGTGATCAAGGTCCGAAACGCCATGACGAAGCGAAACACACGCATCAGTCGAACAACCTGCACGATGTTCCCACATTTGGCCCAAAGGCTGCAAAGTATGCGTATGGGGTATGGGGCTTGGGAGAATTTCCAAGCCATCTTTCAACCAAGCCAACTTCTACTTATCGTCTACAGGGCATGCTAAAGGCAGATGCGGGGTGCGCATCCTGGAGCAACATGCTACACTCTTCTCCCAATGCCATAAAACGCACGTGGCTTGCCGCGTTGTCCCACTCTCTTCTTGCGGACTCGGATTCTTGATAGCTTGCACACTATGAAGGATGCAGCCTCAGGGCTTCGAGCTCTTGAGATAAGGAGCAGCGTCGGCTTGTCAAAATTTCCCTACTAGTGTCTGGAAGACTAAGAAAGGCTCCGAGCAGGATCCTGCCCAAAAGTAGCAGCTGCCAGCCTTCAGAACACGGGTCACGCGAACCTGCAGTTGGGTTGGCACTTCAGCTTCATGTTATTCCACCGGCATTTTGCATAACACCAATACGATACATGACACCAACCTTATACATGTCCAAGCAATCATTAACGTAAGAATGTAGGATATGTAGGGAGCAACAACATCTTGAGTCATCACAAGTTCTGACTGTTGAAGGAACCTGTCGAACAAGTCTGCATGGTCAAGTACGTGCAGCAGCTCACTCCTAAGACAAAATAGGAAACCTGACATCCCACAGGGCAGGCTTCCTGTAATGTGTCAAGGCGCAATGCGCAAGGCTTTCAAGCCCGTCACGCCGTCCGCGTTGCCGCTTATGTCATTGCCTGCAGCGACTTCAGAAATCCTACTCTCATGTTTTGCCGGGACAGTGTAAGCCTTTTTCAGAGAACCCAACAGTTCCCTGACTCCGCTCAGAATTGAATTCTAAACAAAGATTTGAACTGCGCTGGAAATCAAATTGCCGCTACAATTCTTTACCATCCACCGCAATAATGGAGCCCCGGTGGCTTTATTATCATGAGGGCGGCATCCTTTGTGATAGGGAAGTCAGTCTACATAGTTTAGTAACCTGGAAGGCTATGTGTATTATGGTTCAGCTGGGCTTTGTGCGGTGGGCTGGCAAGATCTATGTGGGAATGTGCTGGATTTCCGTTTTCAGCTCAGAAGCTCGAAATCTATAACCCAACACAGACTTGGGCCTTCATTCAGAACACACGTGCCAAAATCACGATCCGAGGTGCCGTGTCTTGATTTCCCCCTCAAACCTTTACAAATGTAACGGGGCGACCCCCCAGGCCCAACGTCTGGCAAGGCCAAGAAGCTGTCTACGAGGTAAATGATGTCAGCAACAACCTCCCAGAGCGATATCGTCACAACCCCGAGGTCGAGAATGCTCCACATCCTTGTTGAAACCGTGCTGGGACGAGTTGGTAAAAGGTATGGACAGGACATTGAGTCATTGAGGTGGATGGAATTGGCTGCACTTCAGAACTTACATAGGGTTTCAAGATGAAATGTACGTAAGGTTCATGAGCGCCAGCAAAGGCAGTAAAGGGATTCTGGTACAACCTGCTTGGCAGTGGGTACATCCGTCTATCCAGCCAAGGAGTCAAACGTCTGAGCGCACAAGGAATTTGAACGAAATGATAATAGTGAAGCTTGGCCACCAATCCGGACCACAGAACATCCCGCAGCCGTCCGCGCACAAACGCAAGAGGAGTTCGAGGGAAAACCAAGCTGTGTATGCCTCAAATGTCTTGGCGGCTCATGGCATGATTGCTGCAATGGCAGTGCTCGCTTTGATGACGTCTGAGACCTACCAGTAGAATTTTACCCCACTGGAAACCCGCATTGCATTGTGGCTTCACATCCCAACGATTACTAGTCTTTGTGGGCTGCCATGGTAATCACCGTTTGGTCCTTGAGGATCATTGTGCCATCACCAAGAAGGAAATGACACGGAGGGCAAATATTCTGGCACTGGCACGACGGCAGGCCGACTTTGCAAAAATAGGTTACAGGGCACAGAGATCTCAAAACACGGATGAGCCAAATCTGCAGGGAACTGACATCTGATATCTGCCCAGGGCGGCATTACTCGTAAGTCCTCGGATCGGGCCGACGGGGATATCCCTGGATTTCGGCATCTCAAGTCCAGGCGGCGAAGAACACGAATTCTAAACCTGTTTCGCTAGCTCACCATGGGACCAAACGAAACCCTGCAGCCCCAGGGGATCAGCGAAGGTGCATACTGAATTGCATGCATGGCCATGGAGAGGTCGCCATGGGATATGCTGAGCTGCACTTCCTGAAGCGCAAGAAGCAGTGCTGCAGTTCCAGGGCGTGTTTGGGGTCTGGCAGACGCACCACGCCGTAGGTAAACCTAGTTTTGAACCATTGTCGGGGAGCAACACCCAAGGCGCCAGGATTTGCAAGATGTGCTAATTATGCTAATTAGCAAGTTGAGTGTTCTTGTTTTGGGGGGGGGCTTGGTCTGGCATGCTCAAGATCTCGGGTGCTTCAAGGGCCTGGGGAACGTGAAACCTATCATAAACTCCAAATCTCACAATTGCCAGGCTTGTTGACCGAGATTCGATGCCAAGGAAAATCCTCGGCACAGGGAGCGCGCTGCAGGCAGACATGACCCCCTTCCTGTCATGCTGCAAATACTTCTCAAAAACTCAGGGGGAGCTGTGTAACAGTCAGGGGCACAAACGTTTCCTGGCTCAAACCCCACAAGCCAAAACAAATCATATACGGCTGTAGAGGAAGCCAAGTCTTGAAGGCCAATCGGAGTAGACTGAAACCCTTACAGAGTTTACCTCTATGATCAAGGCAAGGGCGGGCATCAAAGCGACATACCCGAGCCCTGCCCCCACCCTTGGTGCCCGAATTGCCAGAAAGAGCCACGAGACCACAAGCCTCACTCCTAAGCCTAAGCATGACTGCGTCATGCAATGCTCAGTCCAAAGCAAACCAACATGCTCAGAAGCAAATCACTAAAACATCGTTGCCACCATGCGACGCCCTGCAAAAATCAATCTAAACTCCTTCAACCAAACCCTCGCCTCTGGAATCTAGCGACGCTCTGCACCCCCCACCTCGCAAGCGGGAGCCTCCCGGTCAAGCTCCTTATGAACTCTAACGTCCAAATTTAAATGCCAAGGCGCGAATTCGTCATGACGGCTAAGGCACATAGCATGTCAAAGGCCTCGGAAATCTTATAGGCCAGCTGTCAGCTTTTGTGAGACTTATCTGAATGTACAAAACTCTTGCTTCTTGTGTTCCGTCCCTGCCTTTCTTTTGAGAGGGGTCGTGGTTTTGCGCACAACCTAACTCGAGGGAAACATGCCTGTGATTCTCGAGCCTGAATATCACGCTAACCTCCATTCCTCCGTACGATGGTGCACCACAAAGCCACGTGGTCGACCAACATGCTAGTGTCTGTTGAACAAAACCTCAACGTGGCCGGAAGATCCTGGCCCTAGTGAACGACATGGGCCTGATGGCTTGATGTTAGGTCCCTCCGCTCCCTTACCTGAAGTTTGCAAAGTTTGCGTAACGGGGATCTCCGCAAACAGCAATTCAGACCTAGGCTACCCTTCCCAGAACTAACTGCAGGCCCACAAGAGAAGCTGGCAACCTGCAGAACATCCTTACGAATCCGTGTTGCTTCAGTTGCTGGCCGAAGCCCTCCAAACATGGTCAGGCCGCATTTGAGTGAACCATTCGAGCAACGCAGTTCTCCTCCGGAGTACAAGACTTTCGAGGATTCACGAATGTAGCCGTTTACAGGTCTTCAGCTACAGGGCCTTGATTCATGTTCGTTCGGGTCGGAGGTTAGCTGCTGCACCATAGCCTTGTATAAGTGAACGCCTATATCCCTAGACAGGACGCGGCAAATAAGTGACAAGACCACAACCTTCAAAGGTCTCTACAGCTGCAAGCCGGCGACTCAGACAAAGGAAACATGAGCAAAGCTAGGCGTGCTCCTTTGGAGTGGACTCATCAATTGGTCGCATGTGCGACTCGTGGAAGACCATCCGCGAGTGCGCCCCTGCCGGAACCCAACCATGGATGTCATGACGAAGGGCTCACAGGTCGGGAGTTGCCAGATGGGACCAGGTCGTGATTGGAGGTTTGGGCGGTCAGCATCTTGGGCAACCTGACGTTGCGCTTTACCATCTTCAGAATTAAATGCTGCCAGGAAGCTTCGGCGCGCTCGATGCTGATTCTTTTTGTGATGCTACTTGAGTGTCTGGGCAGGCATCCTGCAACTAAGTGGTTTCAGTGTCATACTTCTGTGCCTGGTGAGAGCCATAGCAGGTCCCCCGCCCCCTTTTCTGCACACGTTGTTATAAAACTATTTGCTGCGGATTTGTCAACTCTCTATGATGCGAACAATGTAGTTCGAACCCCTTGTTCCAAGTGTAAGCTCCCTGCAACTACCTCAAATCTGGGTCGAGTTGTGGCGTCAGTCCACTCGACATGAATTGGAGATCATGGCCCGCGAACTTATAGACAGTTTGGGATGTTTGGCTCCTGTCTCTCTGTACGTGGACACAGGATGTCCAGCTATTTGGTCTTGCAACGACCATCTGACAAACAGACAAGCCAATGAGCACTTCCTTTTGGAACCTGCCGTCTCTCTAGCAACTACATCTGCCTGCATCACGGCATGTACAGCATGTAGACTCGACTTGACCAGGACTCTGAAGAACACCGAAGGAAAAATCCAGCTGCTAGGACGGAACTAGTCGGCAGCTGTGCTGCATGCAAGCAATGTCGGAGCCTTATGAATGATCAACCAGTCTTCGAGGTGATTTTCTGATGAGCATCCATGGGGTATTGCTTGGGGACCCTGATTGAGGGAAAGCCTCCAGGGATGCTGCCTGAGCAGCTGAGTGCCGAGAGTTGAATCACACAGACTAAAAGACCGCAGGCCTTCCTGTGTGTCTGCAGCAGCATGCAGAGCAAGGTCATAGTGTGAGAAAGTGCCTCAGGGACGCAGCGTCAGGTGTAAAGTTTCCAATAATTGAGGTTTCGCAGTGCGGTTCCTGCAGGAAGGTCCGAAGCCTGACTCTTGCACCAAGCCCATGGACAAAAACTAGATAAACGCCTGTCTCTAACATGCCGAACTAGTTGTGTCTGCAGAAAAGAAGCTTTGCACTAGCAAGATACTTACCGTCCAAACGCAGTGGTACAGTACGTGAGATGCCGGAACACAAGGTTCATAGCGTGATGATGTAATTTAAATTATCCAGCGCAACAAGACCCTGAGTACAGGGCAATTGGTTTGCAATCCTCTTGATCATGCTCCAAACCATTTCAAACCGACTTCTTAGGATGGTGAATGTCGCAACCTGCTGAGGCATGTGATTCATGCCAAGGGATGGGGGCACAAACTTCTAGAAGCCTTGAACACAATTCCCAAACTGAGGCAGCCCGTGCGTCGCAACACTAGTGAGGCAGGAAGAGGACCCCAACCACACAGAACACGGCCCATGCGTACACCACAAAACATAGCAAAGCCACTGAAGATTGTGGGCATGAAGTTTGACCACTGGGATCGAGCCGAGCTCCTCATGATACAAAGCGAGGCAACGGCTTCAAAGCAATGGGCCATTCTTTGAAAGCTCTGCGTTTGCCGAGGCTGAGTGAAACGCCTGGGCTAAAGAAAAGACTGGGTGTTTCAGCTTCTCATGCACGAAACAGGCATCCAGCACAGCCTGCATAGGCATTGCCTAATCTCATTCTCTTTCTGTAGTCACCTGCCTGACTGACATGGATCAGACAGACAACGGTTTGATGGGGATGTCCAGCT